CTTCATCTTCAGCCTGAACTTACATATGAGCTATTGATGACTGTTTCACAGTTGACCCTGGCCTTGAAAGGGCTGATGATGTAGAGCTTCTCCAGCGTCTCTTCCCACAGATGGAGTCAGTTTGATTCCTGTGTGTTCGATCTGATGAAGTCTACACATGTAGTTGCCCTTTGTGTTGTTGAACAAGTCACTGGTCTGATAAAATTCTTTCATGCAATTTCCAGCATCGTTCCTATCACCAAGGCCATATTTTCTAACTACTGATCTTTCTTTGTTTCCAACTTTTATATTCCAATTATCCGTAATTATCATTGTCTCTTGATTGCATGTTTCATCAATTTCAGACAGAAGTTGGTAGAATTCTTGAGTTTTATAATCATTGGCCTTAGTGATTTGTGTGTAAATATGAAGAATAGTGATATTAACTGGCCTTCCTTGTAGGCATATGGATATCCTATTACAGGCAGCATTATACTCCAGGACAGATTTTGAACTGTTCTTTTTGATGATGAATGCAGCATCATTCCTCTTCAGCAGAGTAAACCATTGTTGTTGTTAAGTGCCATCAAGTCTGTTCTCACTCACAGTAGTCCTATGCAGGGTTTCCAAAGGGTAGCTGCTGGGCTTGAACCACTGACCTTTTGGTTAGCAGTCCAGTGATAATCCTGCAGCATCCTGCCAGGACTTCATATTAAACCATGTTGTTGTTGTTGTTATGTGCCGTAGAGTTGGTTCCGACCCATAGCGACCCATAGCCAGGGTTTCCGAAGCTGTAAATCTTTATGGGAGCGGAAAGCCTCTTCTTTCTCCCACGGAATAGCTGGTAGTTTCGAACTGCTGCTGACCTTGCGGTTCCCAGCCCGATTCGTAACCACTACTCTACCAGAGCTCCTTATATGCTTATCCAGTTCACAGTGGCCAAGTATCGTCCATTACGGCAGACTAATGCCTAGGATAGCAGTCTTCATGCCTGCCATTTAATTTTTGATGACTTCCAGTGTGCGTAGTTCATCATTTGTACCTCTCATGTTCTGATTATTAATGGAGGTTTGAAGCTGTTTGCATTTTGAATTGTGCCTCATTAGCAAATGAAGGTTGTTAGTGTCAACTCTAGTTTGAGAAGGCAGCTCTTCTCCATTCATACTTTAATTCCTTCTAACCTGAGGTGCTCATTTTCTGGCACTACAGCCAACAGTGTTCAGCTGCTGTTCATAAGGTGTTCAGTGACGAACCATTCAGAAGCGGTCTGCCTCTCCTTCTTCCTAGTCTGTCTTCGTCTGGAAACTCTGCTGAAACCTGTCCATCGTGGGTGACCCTGCTGATATTTAAAATACTGGTGGCATAGCTTCCAGCATCACAGCAACATACAAGCTACCACAGTAGGACAGACTGACAAATGAGTGTTATTATACTAATTTGATTATAAAAGTTCATAAAAATTGAGTTCAATTTTAATCTAAGAAATTTAAATAATACATAAACATCAACATCTAAATGTTGATTTAATATGATTTTATATTTTGTACTTAATAGGCATCATCACCAACGTTATTATGATTATGTCATTAACTTAAATTTTGATACCTTGGATTCTGCGCTCTTGGGATTTCAGCCTAATATCTTGGGTTTTGTTCCATTTTCAAAGTAGCCTTTAGAGCGCCCCCTGGTGCTTTTTAAGCGCAGTAGCGAAGAGTCGTGAGTGGGCCTTTGTGTTTTCATGAAATCTCAGTTCCTTTTTGTAAGAAAAAAAAAAAAAAGGTCTCATTTTTTATTGCTATGTAAGCATCACTTTGTTTTGTTCATATTTTTTGTTTTGTTTCTTCAACCACAAATCCTCTAGAAGTGGAGTATTGTTGAGAGGTACTGGCTTCGTATTTTTGCATGGAGCTGGGGTGTTGAACTTCAGACCACCCATGACTTCTGCACCCCTGCAGTGCAATCCTCATCCTTGGGTTTATCCTGCAGCGGCGGTAGCACCCTTGTGCTTGCTCTCAGTGGCTATGCTGTGTAAGCCTCCTGTGTCCTAGTCCCTGACAGGGTCTTTGCCACCTGAAGGTGGTCTGTGTGTGTGCGTCTGGCCCTCAAGAACCTGACCTGGCCTGCCCTCTCTGCCTGCAGCTGCTCACACTAGTCCATACGCCGGCTCTCAGTGTATATACCACCCGCCATGGCAGGAGGACCTCCTAACCAACCCCCTGTGTAAAGAAGACTCCCCCTAGCATCATTTTCTCAGAGTCCCCGCTGGTTTTCTTCATGGCACTTACTCTGGTTTACAGTGGTTTTATTTGTGTACTTTTAAAAGTCTATTTAATTTTTTACCATTTTTGTTACTATTGTTTTTATGATGTTTATAATTGGTGAGAATTCTGTCTCATTCCATTTTATGTCCCCGTTAACTGGAGCAGTGCCTAACACCGAGTAAAACCTCATATAACATTTAATAGCTAAGATGATAGTACAGTGCATTCAAGATTGCCTTGAGATGCTGTTTGTTGAACTTATTACACGTTTTCTTTTCCTACTTAGTGAAAACTATATGTAATGACTTTTGGAATTAAAGATCTAGCACTTTCTCCAGATTACTGTTGTTAGTGTTGAGATGTGGAAGGTCTAGAAGACTGGACTTAGCCCAGAGTATATAGTGGAAGTTGCCTTTGAAATGTAAACTCACTGTTGTTGTATTGTGATGATGTGCCATTGAGTCAACACTGCTTGGTAGTGACCCTGTCTAGGGTTTCCGAGGCTGTAAATCTCTCCAAGAGCAGAAAGCCTCATCTTCGCTCCCAAGGATTGGCTGGTGGGCTCCACCTGATGAATTAATGGTTCGCAATCCAATGTTTAATCCTACAGAGCCACCATGCTACCTAAACTCACTATATTTACTCCTTATCTTGTTATTTGCCTAGCAGAAAAGTAAACTTTTGAAGAAAAATTTTACCGATACTTGAGTTCTGTTATTGAATGGCATGTACTTGAGAGATTCAAAATTCACCCTTCTCTAAGTCCTAAGTGCACCTAATGGCAATATCATTGCTGACTCTGTTGGATCTTGGCTGAAAGCAGAGAATACCAGAAAGGTGTTTTCTCATGCTTTATTGACTGTGCAAAGCTTTTTAACTGTGTTGATCATGAGGAACTATGGATAACATTGTGAAGACTAGACATTTCAGAACAAATAGGCTCATGAGGAACCTATACATAGACCAAGAGCCAGTTGTCTGAACAGAACAAGGGGATAATGAATGGTTTTAATTCAGGAAAGATGTGTGCCCAGGTTGTATGCTTTCACCCTACTTACTCTGTATGCTAAGCAAATAATTTGAGAAACTGGATTATTTGAAGAACAACGTGGCATCAGGATTGGAGAAAGACTCATTAACAACCTGCAGTATGCAGATGATACAACCTTGCTTGGTGAAAGAGAAAAGGACTTAAAATACTTACTGATAATCGAAGAGCAGTGTCTTGGGTTTGGGTTGCATCTCAGTGCAAAGAAAACAAAAGTCCTTACAATTGGACCAGTAACATCATGATAAATGGAGAAAAGACTGAAGTTGTGAAAGACTTCATTTTGCTTGCATCAGTTATCAGCATTCATGGAAGCAGCAGTCAAGAAATCAAACAATGTATTGCATTAGGCAAATCTTCAAAAGTACTCTTTATACAGTGTTCAGGAGCAAAGGTGTCAGTTTGAGGACCAGCCTGTAATATTTTTAGTAGCCTCATATGCAAGTGAAAGTTGGACAGTGAGTAAGGAAAAGTGTAGAAGAATTGATGCATTTGAGTTATGGTGTTGGAGAGGAAGAGTAAAAGTGTCATGGACTGCCAGAAGAACCAACCAAACTGTGTTGGATGAAGGAGAGCCGAATTTTCCTTGAAAGTCAGGATGGCCAGACTTTGTCTCTCATACTTAAGACATATTATCAGGAGCGACCAGCCCATGGAGGACATCATGCTTGGTAAAGTGAAGGTGTCAGCAAACAAGAGGAAGACCACCAAGGAACTGGGTAGGCACCGTGGCAGCAGCAATGCACTCAAGTGTAACAGCAATGCTGAGAAAGGTGCAGGACTGGGCACTGTTTCATTATGTTGTGTATTGGATGACTATAAGTCAGAACTGACTCGATGGCACCTAACAACAACAACAACAAACTGAAAAACACTTGCTAAGTCTAAATCTGAATAGGTGTCTTGGTACTGCATGCTGCAATATGGATGGAGCTTGAAGGCATTATGCTGGCCAACATTACTGAACATTAAAATCCAAGATTGTAGGGAAAACTAATCAAAAGGAGGAATAAATGAAGAGCAGATTTAAAAATTCTTCTGGAAATAGGGAGACTGGATGAATCCCTACATAATTGCTCTGAGCTAATCTTTAAATCACAAATACCCCTCAAAGTCTTCTTAAAACCAAACATTAGTGTAGCTTAACTAGCAAAGAATTTCTGCCTGAGCATTGTGTTCTTTTAAGAACTATCTGTATGGGATATCGATGGTCATAATAACAACTTGGTAGATTATGTGGGAAATTTAGGGGTCAATGCGTGTATGTTAACTAACTAACGGGGGAGAAACAACTCAGGGGAAGAGTGAGACAGTGTTTGCACAAGTCTGACTCTAATAATGTCATCAGCGTCACTGAATTGCACATGTGGTTGTTGTTGTTAAGTGCCGTCGAGTTTGTTCCAGTTCTGTTTGGGGTTTCTGAGGAGCAGCTGATGAATGTGAACCACCGACCTTGAGATTCAAACCCACCTTGCGGTAGAGTGCTTATCCTACAGTGCCACACCAGGACTGTGGAAATAGTTAAAGAGGTATATGTTCTACTGTGGGTATTCTCAACAAAAACAAAAGTAAAATAACTTGTTTTATTTTAAATACCTAGGAGAGGACTTACCCGCTCTGTGTGTTGCCGTTTTTGTGTGTACATAGTTTGGTTGTATTTGCTGCTCTCTCCCGTGCAGAAGTAACAGGTGCTGTGTTGTCTTTTCCCTCAGCCCTATCAGTTTGAGCAAAGCATCGTGCACCCCCTGCAAGCTCTGAGAGAAGTCCTGGAATGCAGGCCTGGAGAAGCCAGTGTGAGTGTTCGCCTCAGCTGTTCTCTGCTTCAGAATCTCGCAAGGACCACTTGGGAGTCAGCTGCAAAGTTCTGAGTCATTTCGGCAATATGTTTATAGAATGTTTTCTTCTTGTTGTGAAGTGCTATGGAGTCGGTTCCGACTCAGAGCAACCCTATATAGGGAGCAGAAAGTCTCATCTTTCTCCCCTGGAGTAGCTGGTGGACTTGAACTGCAGACCTTGTGGTTTGCAGTCTAGTGCTTACTGCTATTAAGATTTAGCTTAATTCCACAGACTTGCTGATTTGTGACTCCTGGGGAGGCTGCTCAGAAGTAAACGTGAGTGAACTGGGTAGAGTATTTGCAGTGTGACCCCAGTATACAAAAGAAACGATTGCCCTGGGTGTTGCCAATCACGCTAGTAAGTCAGGGTCTCCTCAGGCCTGGATAGCTCCTGCAGGACAGCTGCCCAGAGGCCGACTCTGTCTCCCTTCAGAGCAGGTCTTCCCAGAGTGAGCACACAGTGCGTCCTCGCCCTAACTTGTCCCATAGCTAATGAATCAACAAAGCTGCTGTTTGCATCGCAATGTCCAAAGATATTAATCAAAATTCTTCTTACAGGTCTTTCAACAACCTAAAACACAAGAGGAGGTTTGCCAACTAAGTATCAATATCATGCAGGTAATATTAAAAAGTAGGAAGCAAATTGCTAGTCCACCCCTTATTTTATATATATATAAAATGAGGAAGCTTCATAAAGTTCATGGAAAAATGTAATTCATAGATAGTGGATTTTTTCCACAAGATGTTTAAAGCCCCCTTGTGTATGTGTGCGTTATATGTGTAACCTGTATTAAATAATGTAGATTCTGTATTAATTTTGTCTGAGTACATTGTAGTTAGAGGCATATAGGGGTCTTAATTACCAAGTGCTGCTATAACACAAATACCACATGTCGGTAGCTTCAAAGAATAGGAATTTATTTTCTCACAATTATGGAGGTGGTGTGCAAATTGGGATTCCCGGGCTTGTAGACCATTTTCACACGGCATCCATTTTCCCATTTATGCTTTCACCTGTGTCTCATGTACTGGTCTTATAACTTACAAGTGACAGATTGTTACATACCCTAAAGTGATCCAGAGTTCCTGACATGGTGCTGTGGGTTAATACTCTGGACTGCTAAGTCGGTTTGAACCACGAAGTCCGTGTTTAGGCTCACCAGCGCTCCTCGGAAACCCTATATGGGATTGCTGTGGGTCGGAACCAGACTGGACAGCACTTGACAACAATAGACTGCTCTGGTTTTATTTGTATAACAGAGAAAACCTCTCTAAATAGGACTGCCTCCCCAGGTATAGGGGTTAGGGTTCCAGTATGAATTAAGGAGGGCACAGCTTTATCCAGAACAATAGGTTCATTGTGGAGTAGTTCCAGCTTGTTCTACCAATACCCAATATGGATTTGTTGTTGTTAAGTGCTGTCAAGTCAGTTCCTACTCACAGACAGCAACCCAATACAGGGTTTCCAAGGAGCAGCTGGTCAGTTTGAACCACCGACCTTACAGTTAATCATCCAGTGATTATCCGACAAGTCCACACCACGACTCTGTGATATTTATATTATCTGTTGTTTGTGTGTGTTCTCAGGATACTTTCTAGATAATTGTTATACCAGAAGTTAAATTAAATTATAGTTTGTTGTAGCTAAATTGTTAAATTCTTTGATTAAGATGAGTATTGCTTTGCAGGCATGTAAAGAAAGCTTAGCACATGAGTAAGAACTTACTTCCTAAAGTATATTTAAGAATTTAATAACTGGATTAAAAATAAGTGCTTTTAATTTTTATTACTTATAGAATAAAAAATTGATATTTTTAATTTATATAAAATTATTATTTAATGTTAAAGTAGATTAATATCTGAGTGTTCATATCACTGAAACTTATTTTATGTAGATTTTTATACACTGTCTGGAGCAGTTGAGCACCAAGACCGATGCAGATATAGATACGACGCAGTAAGTAAAAATGAAATTATTGGTGCATTTGGGAAAATTAGAAATACAGATGAAAATGATATATTTGTCTTAATGCTCAAAGACTGCTAGTAAGAGAAATAGGTTCAGATATTATAGTCACAATTTTATATGTTTATATGTATTACTTCATTAGTTTCCTCATTTTTAAAATTGATCTTAAAGGCTTACTACTGATGTTGAACAAAAGCAAACATATGCTTAACTGATTAATTTAAAAAAGAGGTATATAAATAATAAAGTAGAAAAATACATAGCTCTTGGTTGATACTACAATTCTGGTGTTATTCTCGTTAAAAAATAATTTATTAAAAATTTAAGTGTGTGTCAGGTTTAGTAATTTGGACTTTTTAAGACGAGAAATAGGTTCAGCTATGAAAGTCATAATTTTATATATTTATCTGTATTCATTAGTTCCTTTGTTTTTTAAGTCCATCTTAGCCTTACTATTGATGTTGAACAAAATTAAACATGTGCTTAACTTATTAATTAAAAAAGAAGAGGTTTACATAAATAATAAAGTAGAAAACGTAAATATATAGCTCTTAGTTGATTGGACAATTCTGGTATTATTCGCTTGTTAAAAAATAATTATGTATATTAGAATTGCATAAGTAATTGTAAGTCTGTGTCAACGTAAGTTATTGGGTGGGTCCCTTGAAGACATTTCTTAATTCTTGTTTTGTGTTTTCAATGGAAGTTTGCAGAGCACATTGGGTCTCCAGTCAACAACCCATGCCAATTTTGTTTTCTGGCATTGCTGGCAGTCCGCAGAGTGTGGCGGCGCTCTTCCCACTGCCTCCCTTCCTTACTGCTCCTTCCTGCCTTTTGAGCTTAATCCTTAAGCAAACGCTGCCCTTGTGATCGCATATGGCTGACTGGGTCGTAAGTGGGCATCTCCCTGGAGTTAGTGTTCATCTATGGGCCTTATACTGATGGAGCTGAGTCACAGGAATGAGTTCAGTTCCATGCGTGAAGGGTCTCTCAGGGCCTTAGTCTCGGGGGTCCCACCAGTCTCTGTCACCTCAGTAAGCCTGGTCTTTTATTTAATTATTTATTTTAAGCCTTGTCTTTTATAATGATTTTGAGTTTTGTTCTGCATTTTCTCCCCCTATATCTAAGACCTCCTATTGTGATCCCTTTCAGGATGCTCAGCAGTGGTAGCCAGGCCTCAGCTAGTTCTTCTGGTCTCAGGCTTGAAAGGATTACTGTGGGCCAGTAATCCTTTGTACTGACTTGTCCTGTGCATCTTTGTTTGTCTTCACTCCTCTTTGCTCTGGTCGGGGACAGCTCAGTAATTCCACCGTACACAGGTACTCATGAACCTTTCAGTCTGCAGTGTTTACGTACCAGAGTAGAATGTAGAATACTGTCATTGTGGGCAGTGTTGGCCAATTGACTATAGTGTTCCCTGAGCCTGTGGCCCTGAGCCTCTAGCCCAGCAGTTCATCCCCTCTAGGTGTTAGGTTATGGCTGTTTTCATAATGTGCAAACTGTATCCTCTAGTATATTCTTAGATATACCAGCACAGAAAAATACATATGTAGAAATACCTTCTTTCAAACCTTTATTAATTCATGGTCCCACTGCCCTTCCCACACCTGTTCAGTTTGTCTGTCTATCGATGTATCTACTCATAGATTATTGCTGCTAATATTATTGAGTCCTTGTGTGGCACTGTATGTAGTACAAGCACTGGACCACAGGTCAGGTTGAACCACATGTTCTGCGGCTTAAACTCACCAGCTACTCCTTGGAAACCCTACTACACAGGGTCCCTAACGAGACGGCACTTAACAACAGCTTTCATTGAAGGCTTGTGTATGATAGTCCGTACCTTTGCTAACCAGGAATTCTTGTACTTCTAGCGGCCCCCTTTGCCTTGATCATCTTATTCTTGTTTTTGTTGTTAGGTGTCATCGAGTTGGTTCTAACTCATAGCGACCCTGTGCACAACAGAACAAAACAGTGCCCTACTCCTCACAACTGTGGTGCTTCTGTGCCAGTCCATCTTGCTGAGGTTCTTCCTCTTTTTTGCTGACCCTACACTTTACCAAGCATGATGTCTTTCTCCAGGGACTGGTGTCTCCTGATAAAATTTCCAGAGAATGAGAGATGAGGTCTGGCCATCCTGGCTTGTAAGGAGCACTCTGGCTGTACTTCTTCCAACACAGATGTGTTTGTTCTGGCAGCCCATGGCACTTTCAGTATTCTCCTCCATCACCATAACTCAAAAGCATCAATTCTTCTATGGTCTTTCTTATTCACTGTTCAGCTTTCACATGCATATGGGGTTATTGTACTCCTTAGTCCTCAAACTGACGTTTTTGCTCTGAACACTTTAAAGAGATCTTTTCCATCAATTGCCTGTTGCAGTATGTCGTTTGATTTTTTGGCTACTGCATCCATGAGCTTTGATTGTGGATCTGAGCAGAATGAAGTCTTTGACTATTTCAGTCTTTTCTCCAATTATCCTGATGTCATTTATTGGTCCAGTGGTGAGGACCTTTGTTTTCTTTATAATGAGGTGCAATCCATACTGAAGACTATATTCTTTGATCTTTATCTGTAAGTATTTTAAGTCCTCTGTGCTTTGAGCATGCATGTTAATCAGTCTTCCTCCAATCCTGATGCCACATTTTTCTTTATATTATCTAACTTTTCAGATTATTTGCCTTTGTCTTAGTTAACATATGTAGTAGCACAGTGGTTCTGCATTGGGCTGCTAATCTCATGGTCGGCAGTTTGAAACTACCAGCTGTTCCTCAGGAGAAAGATGAGGCCTTCTGCTCTCGTAAAGATTTACAACCTCAGAAACCCTATGCAGGATCACTATGAGTTGGAACTGACTTCACGACACACAACCGCCCTCTAGTTAACCATTTACCCGCTGTCATTTCTTAATTCTTGATGCGTACAAACACATGTGATAATCTCTTTATAATGCTGGTTGAAGGATTTTTAAAAAAAATCAAGTTTTTAATGACAGTTGGCATGTGTAACTTTCAGATGCCTAAGATTTGTGCTCTAAAACAGAGAATACGGAAACAAATATCTCTTTAATGTTCAGTTGACAATTTGAGAAATTTTCCATATTTGCCCACTTCCTGTATTGGTTTTTGCTTCCTGGTATATAAGATTATCACTTCTCTAGGAACTCGTAAATATTTAATTCTTTGATTTGGTTTTATGTTTAACTCTTTAACCTACCAGGAATTTGTATTGTTAGTCAGTTTCCTGTCATTATTGATTAAATAAGGAGGTTTTTTTCTTGCAGCTTTTTTTCCAGTTTGTTTTATATACCATTGAATTCTAATATATGGTGCAATGTATATCTAAATTGTATCTGTTTCATTCAAACATTCAAATCAATTTTCTTTTTTTAATTATTAGTTTATTTCAGTGTTTTTCAGTTCAGTATCCTTTTATCATTTAGTTTCATCTCTAGTTTTCCATATGTGTTCTAAGTTCAGTTGGTCAGGTTTAAAGGAACAAGATCCTATTGAGATGTTTAGGATGCTTACATCGTATCTCTAAACCAGTGGGTTCATGTTTTTAACCTGTCATTTATCAACTGATTTTCTAACTCAGGGACTTTTTATGAAAAAAAGCTCTCTTCTCCCCTCCCCCAGAGAGATTTTCATAGGACTAAACATGGAATAACTGAAATTACATAACATGTTTTGCTTCCTTAGTTGATTTGCTTTTAAATTTGATTAAGGCAATATTGGGAAGACACAAAAACAAAATCATAAGACCATGTTAACTGGTAGTTCATGGTACCTTCTTTAAGTTCTTAGTTGTTCACTGTAGAAAACTTAGAAGTTGTGTGATTATTGACCAAAACATTTAAAAGTCAAATGTACATGTTTCATTCCTTTTTTACATATATACATTTTTTTTTTTTTTTTACTTAATCTGTTCTCTTATTTGCTTTTCCATGCAGTCTTTCTGTTGATGTTTCTTCTCCTGATTTGTTTGGAAGTGTCCATGAAGACTTCAGTTTAACTTCTGTAAGTAACATGATAAAGAACTAAAATGATAACTAAAGTAAAATCTGGTGTTTTACAACTATAAGTAAATCAGTTTTA